TTCACGGTTTTTTTTTTTCTTCAAAGCCGCGTCCGAACGATCTAATTACTGACAGTAGTCTTGAGCATTGATTGTTGCATTAGTTGGTAGCAACTCAAAGTGAGTTATTCCTTTGCAATCCCACCAAATTGAGTGAAGAACATTCTCGTTTGTGTTTTGGGCATTTTCCCCACTACCAAGACGCTGTCTATGACGTTTAGCATTTTGATAACAATCCATTTTTCATCATCAGTCACAAGTCTATCCAAAAAGAGCGAGATGAGTTCCCGAGAATGAAGAGAAGAGCAGATGTCAGCTCGGGTGATGCTGTTGACTTCTGAAAATTCATGAGGCACTCATTTTCTAAGGTTAGGAACATTTTCAAGTTGTTGAAGATGACGATAAAGAGTTATATGGTTTGAATGAAACTACATTGCCAATTCTTCAAATAATACTGCAGGATCTTCTTTAAAAGATACCACAAGGAGTTCATCATCAAACTCAACTGGACGTCCTATTCAGTCTTCATCTTTAAGGCTGAAATTTGGCAAAGCATCTTCTGCAATTTCTTTCAATCAGTCTTGTCCATGAGCTGATTGAATATTTTTTTTTAAAAACTCATGAAGCTTTACGTGCCTTAAACGCTTCTTTGACACCTCCATCTTTGAGTAATTAATTCAGTCAAATTATTCAGTAAAAAAATTATATTAAGTTTTCCAAAATCATATGATTATCAATTAGTATCATTTGTCATTTTCGAATACTGTAAAATTTGATTGAAATTATATACATAATATTTCAGACAGAACATATGGGATTGTGTGTGTCTATGTCTGTCTCTGTGTGTGTCTCCCTGTGTGTGTGTGTGTGTGTGTGTGTGTGTGTGTGTGTGTGTGTTTTCACCAGTAGTACGACTCGGAGTTTTGTGCACAACGCAATCTTCAGGTGTTGAATAGAGACTGACAGTTACATAATTAACATTTATATTTATTTATATTTATTCATATATAGTTAATAGCACTTTTATACTACATCGGGCACTATATTATTAAAACCAGCACTCAATGTGCGATATCCTATATATATATATATATATATATATATATATATATATATATATATATATATATATATGTGTGTGTGTGTGTGTGTGTGTGTGTGAATGTTCATACGCATTTTCTTTATCATCATCATATATATATATATATATATATATATATATATATATATATTTGCTTGAGCTCAATTTTTTTGCCATTCACTGTCAAGGTTGCTAATGTGTGCAATGCCTTTTTTTATCCTATTGTCCACGTGATAGAATTGCCAAGACGATTGATTCATTGTACCAAGTATATATAGACCTCATAACCATCGTTTACTGAACAGATAAAATTGATTTCTAATGCGTATAGAGAAACCAAAGGCCACTTGTGTTAATAGAACTGGTCTCTAATAATTTGATCTTTAATTATAAAACATTATAATCTCTGAATTGTACAATGTGTCCCTCTTCTGTACACCTGCGAGATTTTATCTCAGGAATCACAAACTAAGGACACTTCATCTTTCACCTCCACGAAGATATTGTGATTACTTCTTCTCCTGTTTCTCCTTTCACTTTTCCACTGCTGTTGGAACTGTTCCTGATCCATTATCCTTTCTTTTCTTCCGATAATCTTATTTTCTAAGCGAGCTTTTCTGTAAACTTCCTCTTCCGATTTTCTCTTGCCTACTTATTCTTAACAAAGCTTTTGACTTTCTTTTTCTTGCGTCTCGTGACGCTTGCATCTTCCTCTCCTCCTCCTCCTCCTCCTCCTCCTCCGTTCTTTTTTTGGATTTTTTTTGGTTTCCTCTTCTTTCTTTGTCTCTTCTCTCCTTTTATCACCTATTATTGTTCTCGACGTCTTCATAAGTGATTTTCTATTCTGGAATTTCATTTCTACCATTTTTTTTTAAATTTTCACAATACCAAACTGTTCTTCTAAGTTGTTTTTCTTTTCATCAGATGCACACACAGTTTCAAGAGCGCATACACACAAATATACACATTTCCATATAAGTTATCTTACTGCAGACAAAATAATAATATTTTATTTTATTTTTATTGCATTCCCCGCCTCATAAGCAGAATACCGTCATTATGAATTCTATTGGAATTCTAGTTTTCGCTTTCAAAAGAAAATGGAACATGTCTGGTCTGATTCCCCGGGGGAATGCATGTGTGGCTGCCATTAGTTACTATGTGGCAATTAACTTTCCACTGATACAAACAACAGTAGGGAATAACGTTATTTTTATATCCGTCGCGAAAAACTATAGACTTGAAAAACAGACAAAAAGCAGACATTATCTTTGACAAGACAATACAGAATGAAATAAATAAATAGTTTTCATTGTTTGAGTGAAATGTAAATTTTGATGGTTGGATTTTTATTGTGCCTTTCATGTATTTGATTTTCTTTTCCTTTTTCTAGTCTTCATTTCTTATAATTATTCGAAAAGGGGAATTTATGATAATGTCTAGTGAAATTCGCATCAAATGGATAGGTATAAATTCAAATTTATTGCTACCTGTAATTCCGAACATAAGTGTGTAACCTCTTTGAAATTAGGTGTTTGGGTAGTTTTTGTGCATGTGTATGTTTATGTATGAAAGTTTTGCATGTTAATTGCGTATGGACACTTTACTAGGAAGCACGCATTGTTTCTTATACACAATTTAATCTTCTTCTTCTTCTTTCTTCTTCTTCTTCTTCTTCTTCTTCTTCTTCCTGTCATGCCAGCCATTGCTCAAGCGCTTCCGGTAGATTACTCACTGTTTCTTTCTGTCCATCTTGCCGACAATATATCTTGTGAGTGTCAAATTCCTGTAGCCTTCTTTTAATTAAGAGGTGAACCGGAAACCTCATTTTCTAATCATAAATGCATTTTTTTCTTTTTCTTTTTCTTTAAAACTTTCTCATTGCTCACATTCTTCCCTATTGCATTCTCAACATCCTTCTGTCGCACCACATCTCTGTTGCTCTGTTGTCCTCTTTATCTGGGACGAGATTTTCCAGTATTCGTTACAATATAGGAAGATTACCTATTATCTATCAGTTTAGCGTTCATTATTATTGATATTTTTCTGTTTTTCATAATTTGCTTAAAATTGGGAAGCCTATTTTGCTTTTCCAATGCGCCTTTTGATTTATGCGCCATATTTACTATCGTATAACGCATACCATATAGTTAAATGGCTGTGCTTTCTTGATTTTTACGCCTTCTATTTATAGCTTCCATCTTGATAGCTTGTATTTTCTTGCTGACGACCATGCATTGTTTATTTATGTTGTACCGATGACTACAGGACCAGCACATTAATACCTGCATGTCAGAAAACACACATAGTAACATGTAAATAAATTTACATGCGGTTAAAATACATAGTTACAAAATCTCGGGATAACACTTTCTGCTTATATGAAGTGAAAAGAGTATATTGAATCAAATGCTGCTAGGGAAGTTGGTTCATCGTGTCATACTAGACAATTATTTTCACTAGAATCTATCTTATATATTTATAAGCCTACTATTCGACGATGCCTTGGATATTGCTGCCACGTATGATCTAGTGTCACTGCTATATATTTAGAGATCTTTTATAATATCCAAGGAAAGATTATGTAATGTCATTCTTCCTGACATGGCATCTCGGATTCAAACACTTTCCCCATCGCCATAATGTAGCTTCCCTGTGCCTTTTCTATAAATACTCCCATGGTAATTCGTTCCCTCTTATTATTTTACCCCTCCCACCCACAGACAATGAATTTTACATATAAGGACTAGTTAGGACTTTCATAGAGACATAGTGGTATTATGGTGGGTGTAGAAGGATGGTAAGATTGTGTTATTGTGGTGTAAGGAATATTATTGTATGTTTGGGCCTGTGTTTGTGGCGAGCTAATTTACTGTTAAGACAGAAGAAGACCGTATTTTTCCTCATTCCCCTTTTGGGCCTTGTGGCACATTTTGTTAAAAAGAACTAATAAATATCACTTTCCTCTACGATACCTAGATTCCATGAATTTAAAATCGGTACTAATTTGACGGAAAGATTTGATCATTTTGAAATTGAAATGGCTAGACGTATATGTAAGTTTTATGCTAACAGTTTCTTTGTCGCACTTCTCACTTGTAGAACACGCTTACGTTTTCTTGCGTTCCATTCAGCTTTGATTTTCAAAAAAATAATTCCATTAACAATCTTCAACTATTGTTTTCTTAGTTTCTCTTCTTTTATTCTGTTTTCTCTTTAAATTGATTTTCTTTGTCATTGTCCCCTGCGTCCTAGTGGCTTTGTTGCCTTGCTTGTGGTGAAATGAAAAATAGAAGAAATAAGATGAACGAACAAATGAAAGGATTAACCGCCAAAATAAGAATTCCCCTGTTCAGTTAGGATCACTCTTTTTAAAACTGTTTATAATAATTCAATGACGCAAGTGTAGGCTTTAAGAAAGCTTTATTCAACTGAGAATACAAGGTTCGCGTATAGTGTTCTTTTATAATCCCAGTAAAGGGAACTATCTCTCTCAAAGAAGTTACAAAACAAGGAGAGACCATTCCTGATTATTCATAACAATTGCATATTATTCTTATCGTTCGGATCCGTATATTTGGTGTTTTATTTGCTTTTTATTTTTTCAAGTTTGCTCTACTAATTTTATAATTAAATTTTTCCTATTGATTTTATTTTTCAGGTTTGAAAACTTGACTTCATCGCTTAAATTCACATACTTGTTTTTATTGTTCAATTTTACATTCTTAGTTTTATAATTCAAGCGTTCATACTTGTTTTATACTGACAAAAGTACGCAGGTGTCGGCATTAAGAAAGCTTTGTTCAGCTGAGAATACAACATTCGGGTTTAGTGTCCATTTATAGTCCCAGTAAACAGAAATATCTCTCTCAAAGAGGGGAATAACAAAACAAGAGGTGTTCACTCTTGATTGTTCATAACAATTAATGTATTAGCCGTCCTTTTCAACTTTTTATCGATATTATAATGTGTTAAAAATTGATAGATATTCCCCTTTTAGTGTGAATATAATTCAGAAAATCCGTGTGTCCAATTTACAGATCATAAATACATAGATGAGGTAAACATTGTAAGTATTTTAATATTTACTCTTTTCGCAATGTCTATATAATCTTGAGAGAAACTAAATAAACAGTGATTTAAATCGATTGGCTTTGATTTGGCTTTAAATATTGAATACTTGCAATTAGGCTTGTGCATTTATACGGTAGGCGCATGCGCGCGTGTGTTGTATATAAATAATTAATGCCATTATTTTTAGATTCGTATCCGTAATGAAAAATGGCTATTTCTTCAGGAAGATACATAAATGAAATCGAATATTTCCATCTACAATGCCTTGCAGAAATGGAAACTAGTTGGACGACAGTCAAAGGCAGACTGAAGTTCTGTATCAAACTATAATTTAAATTCTATGTTTAATCGTTGTAAATCATGTCTCCAGGTACTATGTTTGGCACTACTATATTTGACTAATCCGCTCGCAAAAAATAACGACATTTTTGAAGGAATATTTGTTTGTATTTTTGGCATTCATTGGACATACCTCAAGCCACAAATTTTATCAAAATAAACAAATATGAATTTTAGATGTATAACACTCTTTATAATATAAATACAGACTTCAGATTGATAACAGAATTCACAGTTCGTAAAGCTACATAGACCCCTAAAAGGATAGGTTTTAATTTTGGTGGTATAAGCCACAAATCCCCCATCATACCTGGGACAATAATGACCTGAACATCCCACACCCTGGCAAGATTTAATCTGATGGTTAGTGCATTCCTTAAACTTGTCAATTTCTTTCACCTTGATATTCTGATCACCAGTAACAACCATGTTGATGAAAAGGTATTTTTTATTTCTCTCTCTCTCTCTCTCTCACTCACTCTCTCTCTCTCTCTCTCTCTCTCTCTCTCTCTCTCTCTCTCTCTCTGTAATGCCTAGCTTAGTAGCCTCAGTGATGTGATATGTTTAGATATTGGAATCCTACAATACCTTGACCTGGTGGTTTTCGATCACCTACACGTCATTATATGTATTATTATTAATATTATTATTATTATTATTGTTGTTGTTGTTGTCATCTTCTTACTTTTTGTTTTTTGGTTTTAATCTCAGAATCTGCATGATCAGTTCTTTCCATCAAGTCAGATGGAAAAGGTAAAGAGGACATTTTCGCAGAATATTTGAATTGACAATCAACCCAGACATCTGCGGCAATGGGATAATGGGTTTTGTTTCGATTTTTAGCTTGGTTATTGCGTAGTTTATTCTGAGTTCTACTTCTTTGAACACTTGGTTGATTGAATGCTGATTCTTTGTTCAAGATTATTCTTATCCCCACTGTGAATACCTATGTCATCAGCATATCTCCCCTTGATAATTCACGTGATGACCGCTTCACTTCATACAGTATGTCAGACAGTTTATTTATAGGAGCTAAACGATCAAGTCGTTTGTCTCGTGTCTCTCATAAAATCTGTCTCCACCAGCAGAATCTGCATCCCCTTTACAATTCCCTTTGGAAATATATCTTCCACAGATTTAGAAAGGAACTCCGGCTCGCAATCCTCAACATGGCAAGACGCAAGACTCGCTGTTTCCTGTTTGTGGAAAATGTCTTCGCTTGGGATATAACAAACGAAGTTGGTCCCTACGATTCTGCCATAGGTTGTACACATTCCACGTTTTAAATGTTTCTTGTTGACCAATTTATCCGACTCTCCTAATAGTTCAGTTTTCTATACCAGCAATATGGCTTGGAAATTGTCTTTGTATATATTCGGCGTTCAGTTTAATCCCTCAATATCCATGACGAGGATTGGTGACCATAATTGGGAACAGTATTCAACATGGCGCCTTTTAATGTTTTATTAGACGCTGAAATAATATGATTCCTTCATATGATATTTTGCATCAACTACGCCATAGCTGACTTCGCTTTCACTATTGAAATGTATACATTGTCGCTAAAATTAAAATTCCAATAAAATGAAGTACCCAGATCCAATTATGTCTTACAGAGTTCCAGGACTAATCATGAATATATGTAGAGACCTTTACGAAATGGTTTTCTGATGTGTAATATTTTGGAATCTACAATGTTAAATGCCACTAGCCCCTTACATTCCAATAAATACAAACGAAGGGAAAACTGATTCAACCAATTTCCAAAATGTTATAGGCTACAGTTACATTCTGAAGACTGTATCTGTCACCCCAGAACTAACACACAAAGAACATGCCTCTATTTTTCTCGTGGTCTTCCTCTCTAGGCTATGATGGAATACTAGTCACAGGTAATTCAACGCCCCCTATTGAAAAAGGAGAATTAATATACACTAATCCCAACTTGACAGTGGGGAGTGGGAAGTTATTATCTTTACCCTATATGTTTATGGCTACCCCACATTAAAGTGAATTTTGTGTCATATCATTCTAGTTTTATTATTTAGGGGGAGTTTCTAATTGGTGTATTGAGTTCAATGCCTGACCACAGCAGAGGAGACAAAAACTTGGAGAGTTGAATTATTAACGGAAATTAATTGAAACTGAGAAAAAGGTCTTTCACGTGGAACTAGAACCAACAACTCTAGCGGACGAAATAAAGCATTCGGTTCAAAATTCAAACGTATATCACCTGAAGAAGATCTGAAGCGAAACGTTGTGAATATGACAAGAAAGATGAGAACAACAGTCCGAACAATATAAATATTGCAAATAATTAGTGTTCTTCTCATTAAGTACAGTATTAAGCATAAATGGATGCAAATCCACATTTGGTAAAAAAAGTAATTTTTTTTTTCTAGAAATCTTCTCATAAATATTATCTGGTCGTCTTAACTGTGTGATTTCCATTTAGAAATAATATAATCTTGCTCTTAAAAGAATATTACTAATTTTGACTAAAAGTAGATCGAAGGTATCCGTTCAGTAATCAGAAGTCGCATATTAATCGGAAAATACAACTTTAAAGAATTATCACTGGAAACAAAGAAAGAACTGCTAAACTGCTGTGAAATATCTAATCTTATACGTGGCAATGAATGCTTAGATATCTTGTCAAGATACAAAGGGATTTGAAGAAACAGACTTGTGGTTCGACCGATGCTAAGAATAACATGGACTGAAAACAAGAGAAAACGGAAGCCTTAAGTAAAATAGAAGATCAAAGGAGACGTTTACATACTATCAGAAAAAGGCAGTTGATATATATATATATATATATATATATATATATATATATATATATATATAGATAGATAGATAGATAGATAGATAGATAGATAGATAGATAGATATCCTGGTGAATCTAACACTCCCAAGACTGACTAGGGTCAAGAGAAACAGGAGGAAACCACAAATGACTTACGTAACAAAATTATATGAATAAGTAGCGGAAAAGACCAAGTGATGATAAACTGACAAAGGTTATTTCGTGTAACAAAAGACAGGAAGTTGTGGAGAGCTTTAATTGTGAATATACCACAAAAGAACTAAAACGAGAAGAAGAATACTGCATAAAACACTAACCGCCATTATCAACGCAATTACATTAATGGAACAAATGACCCTCATGCTAATTAGATTAGAATCCTAACCATTGAGCCAATATTTACACGTGTAAAGGCGGTAACCACGGTTAGTAACCTGAATAGGATCAAAACGAATATTCAAGAAAATTTTTCATTTGTAAAAAAAGAGATAACGAAATGTGAAAGAGAATTTGACTTTTATTCACACCTTTTCAAGAGGTTTTCATTTAAAAAGTAAAAGTTATATTCAGAAAAAGTATAATTTTTGTTATTATATTTTTCGTTAATGTTTGTTTTCAATTTTCTTTTCTTTCTGTCTTTTCGTTTCTTTATTTATTAGGGACACCGGCGTCTCTTCATTCATCAATAAATATCATTAATCTCGCTCGAATTTCAAATCTTTTCAGCAAACTTCCGATAAGCTTTGAACACGATGTGATTGATTTCAGTTTTTTTTTTTTTTTTACACATTCATCTTTGATTGGGGCGATGCAATCTGCGAGAGTGGGGCGAGGAGTTCGAAGGCTATAGAAAGGCCATTTAACAAGATTGGAGACTGAAAAGACGTTTAAGCTGATCGATGAGATACGACAATTTTTCTAGGCAGGAGCATGCCCAGAAATATTGAGTGGGGTGTGTAGACGATTGGAATGATAGGTTTGCTTTTTTGGTTTTTGTTTTTTGTTTGTTTTTTTTGTTTTGTTTTTTTGCAGTCTACTTTATCTGTAACTGCTACCTAACATTTCCGTTTTTTTTTTTAAATAAATGAAGAAAAAAATAAAATGAATACCCAATAAGAATGAGATAAACCACAGACGAAAAAAGAAAAATAGAAATATAAAAATAAGTTAAAATAAAGAATAAAAAGAGGGTGAGATAAAGAAGAAAGAAAGAAAGAAAGAAAGAAAGAAAGAAAGAAAGAAAGAAAAGAAAGAAAGAGACAATGAAAGAAGTTAAAATGAAAAATAAAAAGAGGATAGGATAAACCACAGAGATAAAAGAAAGAATTAAAGAAAGAAATAATCAAACAAATATTGAAAAATTAATAAGAAGAAAGACCATGGAATGATCTACAGATATAAAAGAATGAACGAAAGCAAGAAAAGAAAAAAATCTAAATAAGACACCACAGAAATATTGGAATTTAAGAAATGAACAATAATGAATAATTTTTTTTTAGCCATTAATTATTACACTGTGAGTTAGCCACGCTTACTGTTGTATGAGTTCATTTTTTAATCATCTTTTATAACTCTAATTATTGCGTATTTAATTACATACACACATGAGATATGGCGACATTAATGCATTATGCAAAGCGACCTCTTCGAATCTTTAACAGAAAATAGTTGATGTAAAATTGTAAACCGATATAAATCTTTAATAAATTTGTCTAAAAATCTATGTACGACATCTTCGAAATATAAAATATTTAAAACATTAATTTTGAAAATGTTATTTTAATAAAGTTCATGTGATAAATAATATAAGCTCATTCATATATAGTGAAATGGAAAACAACTTTGAATGATGTCCATCGCCTTACTGCTAAGTTCGAATTTATTTTCGGCCAATAATTATCAGTTTTCTTCAATAAAAAAAGTGTATGTATTTATCTAAATTCTCACGATTAAACTAAAAAGAAATTATTGTTTAATTACGAGTGTTATATGAAAAAGTTCCGAGGATTCTCAAGTAATTGTCACTGGTCCAGGTACGTGTGCACTCCGTCAGTTATGTGATACACGCTTAAGCGAACATGTACCTTTCGAGGCAGAGTTTTTTCCCGCAGTAGGTTGCCATTTCTTTCTGCGGTAGACCAGTTGTCATTTAAGGGTAGAGAAGGTCTGCCCTGCTATTTACCCATAGCTGGGAGGAGAAGAGTATTCATACCTTTCTCTTTCACAAGTGTATTAGCACGTAAATGAATATAATGGATTCGATTAGAATTCGAACACACTATCTATATACTCCACAGTGCCTTCTCACTATCAACCTAATTACACTCTAGCATTCCTTTCGTGTGAACATGTGATTATAAACCTATCCGTTTCAATTCTGGAGTTAAATGACAATAGATATGAAAGTATATTTTGAAGTAACTCAGAAATATATGAAAGACGTTTCTTAGAGAGTTATGTCAACTTAAAATACTTAACTGGTGTACCGAAATGTCAGAGACCGCAATACATTGAATGGTTTCAAGCCTTACCAACTTGTATACACGAAAAACAATGTACCTATGGCAATGTCATGTAATGGTAGCTGGGTCAAGAAAAATAATAGTCTTTCTCCGACGAAGAAACTACTTTAGAATCTAAAGTGACGTGTGTGATACTGCCATTATCGAATTAAGGGAGGTCCACAATGCCTGCTGTGTCATAAGGCCGGATGTGGTTTTGAATTCAG